GTATGACCATCTAATTTGGCTTTTTATTATCCTGTTTTTACATCCCATAGACGGATAGACTTATCATTACTACCAGACGCTAATGTATTTCCATCATGAGAGAAATATACTGACTTAACATATTCACTATGACCATCCAATTTGGCTTTTTATTATCCTGTTTTTACATCCCATAGACGGATAGAGTTATCATTACTACCAGATGCCAATGTATATCCATCAGGAGAGAAACAGACTGAGTTGACTTAATATTAATGACCATCTAATTTGGCTTTCTATGACCCTGTTTTAACATCCCAGAGACGGATAGAGTTATCCAAACTACCAGATGCTAATGTACATCCATCAGGAGAGAAGCAGACTGAAGTAACACAATTACTATGACCATCCGATTTGGCTTTTTATTATCCTATTTTGACATCCCATAGACGTATAGACCTATCATAACTACCAGAAGCCAATAATGTATTTTCATCAGGAGAGAAACAGACTGATCTAACATAATCACTATGCCCATCTAATTCGGCTATCTATTATCCTGTTTAAATGTCCCATAGACGGATAGACTTATCATCACTACAAGAAGCTAATGTATTTCCATCAGGAGAAAAACAAACTGACCTTACATTCTTATAATGACCATCCAATTTGGCTTTTTATTATCCTGTTTTGATATCCCATAGACAGATAGAATTATCACCACTACCAGAAGCTAATGTATTCTCATTAGAAGAGAAACAGACTGACCAGATGGTGTCACTATGACCATCTAATTTGGCTTTTTATTTTCCTTTTTTAACATCCCATATTCGAATTGACTTATCACCACTACCAGAAGCTAATGTAATTCCATCAGGAGAGAAACAGACTGAGTAAACATAATCACTATGACCATCTAATTTGGCTTTTTATTTTCCTTTTTTAACATCCCATAGTCGAATAGACACTACCAGAAGCTAATGTATATCCATCAGGAGAGAAACAGACTGAGTTAACCTACCATTTATGGCCATCTAACTTGGCTTTTTATTATCCTGTTTTGACATCCCATAAACGAATAGACTGGTCATCACTACCAGAAGCTAATACATTTCCATCAGGAGAGAAACA